TTTGTCATACCCACCGCGCCCCTCACACCAAGGACACGGGCGACAACCGCTCGCCCACAAAGTCGTGCCCACCGCTCTCCAAGCATGGAAGCGCTAACAAGGTATACCACAAATCTATCTGCACAAAACGGTGGCTATAACAGCTCAAAGTCTCGAACTACGCCTAAAAGCAAAGTTCAATGGAAAATTCCTGATGTTTATCCCAATTTCGAAAGTGGTTAAGTGGCTAGCCCTGCAGCTCAAATACCATCGAAGTTACCTATTGTTCGCGATATCGTGGATTAGCCAGAGATAGAAGTTCTTCTTAATGATCGAGAAGCGCAAAGCAGTGAGAGGGTTGAAGGCCGAGCGTCGTAAATGGCAAGATGAAACTTTGAAGAGTTCCCAAAGAGGTTGCAACTGTGGGTAAATTTGGGTGATTGAAGGGCAGACCGACGAGAGCAAAACATTTATACCGTCTGAGATGAAGAGTAATAGGAATGATGCAAACACATGAACCAGTGCTGTTTCTTTTTTCACAAGCATTGTTGAAAAATGAACTAAGTTCCGCTCGTCTTGTTAGGCTTACCTGTAGGACTAATTAGTGATGATTACATCAGTCATAGGCATCCAGTTTTTCGAAGCCGAGACAATTTTGAAGGTCGGCTAGAAACTTGCTCACAGAAGGGCCTCTGACCACGAATATGGCACCACCTTGGCACGAAAACGTTTGGGGGGGGTAGGTGAGAGGGTCTTGAAAGTCGCAAGCCTCATAGGTGCAGTGGTAACGTACATAACTCCGTCCGGAGGAGAGCTTAAATTTCTGAAAACGAATTTGAAATGAGCGAACAATGCTTCTTACGAGTAAGGTCACAAAAACTACTTCGACGTGGGAACCACCCCTAGTCAGCTGGAGCAGAATGCGCAGCTCACCGGTTACAGGGGTATTATCAATACGTTCTACCGAATTACCACACATGTGTAGGCTCTACTCTCTAAACTGAGTCAGTCACACTCACTGACATAGTTCATCTTCGTACTGCATAGTCACCAATCATTGGAAATAGACTAGCAGAACCAGTTCTGTCACAGAGGAGAGTAATTTGTAGGTTTCGTCAGCACTGCACCCAATCGCATTTGCCAATGTTTTTTGAACTCCTTTATTCGCTCATCTCTCCAAATCAGAAAGGCTACGCTGGTGCAGATGATCCTACTATATATAATCCGCTAAATTTGTCTGTTGTTAATCCTGCACGATTTGGCTTAGGGATTTGTCGTGCAACTTGCCTTCAAGGATTTCGTTGTTCATAACTAGAACTACCGAGGGA